ATTAGCTTTCGTTGTAGAATTGGCATGACTTATGATGTACAGCTATGAGACAATCCATATTAAAACTGCGTTATACCAGGAACATGTCATTTATAGCTTTATTATAATTGCAATTATCTTAAAAACAATTTCAGACTGCACATGATGATGGGCAGAAGATTTTCATCGTTATTTTCCTCCTTATGTAAACTGTTCGATATCATTTTCCGATTTGTGTTTGATATAAGGACTCGGATTTGCTGTTGAACTTGAAACATCATCAATATTATCAGCCTTCGCAGAAAGATTCACGGTGCTCAGTGTAACACTGCTGACTGCGACTGTTGTGCTACCTTCGTTCTTCGCTTCGCCATCGGCTGGCGATGGGCTTGGTGACGTTGAATTGCTTGCTGAAGCGTTGTTGGATTCTTCACTTACAGATGGCATCGGAGTAGTTTCGATGTTTTCACTTGAAGAGCTTTCCATCGTGGTGTTGCTCACAATAGTTGTTTCATTACTGATATTCGACGTANCGATGTTTTCACTTGAAGAGCTTTCCATCGTGGTGTTGCTCACAATAGTTGTTTCATTACTGATATTCGACGTAGCATCCACAATATTTGTTTCGTTAGTAGCATCCAACGTACCATCCACAATATTCGTTTCGTTAGTGACATTTGAGATACCATCCACAATATTCGTTTCGTTAGTGGCATTTGACGTATCATTCATATTAGTTGTTTCATTACTGATATTCGACGTACCATCCACAATATTCGTTTCGTTAGTGACATCTGACGTACCATCGAGAATAGTCGTTTCGCTAGTAGCGTTCGACGTAGCATTCGTATTCTCAACCAATGCTTCATTGATTTCATCCGTTGTAAGAGTGCTATTTGATCCAGATGAAGTGTCATTTCCGGACGGAGATCCTTCAGTTATGTTTCCATCGACCGTCATTGTGCCGTTCAGTGCATCGCTCAGAGTTTCGTTTTTTTCACTGTTCGAAGTGTTACCAAGGTTTACAGCATCAACAGTTTCGTCTGCATCACGCTGTAAAACAGTGCGTTTGAATATGGTCACGCGTAGTCTGCGTCGACTTTTTGCATGACTTACATAGCACATAATCGGATTAAAACTCAGAGTTTATAATATGTGCGTATTTTTGAAATGACTCTACTTCAAATGAAACTTTTACTGGTCATTCGCTTGCGAGCTTGCACGGGTCTACAGTTTTTGAAACCTGATCCAATTTCATTCTTTTTTTTGAATAATGATGGGGAAATTATTTCTAATTTGTTAACAGTTTGGGCAGAGGCGTATCAAGAAGTTCGTCAAAACGGGAAACAGAAAAACTGAGCATCACTCACCGTCCAACGTATTAAACTTTGCGGTTCCACCAAGGCGAATATCAGCATGCAATAGAAGACAGCCATCAGGAACTTGTTCCAACATGGTGTGATCATCTTTTAAATGATATTATCTTGAGAGTGTTTATTGCAGTTGAAGCACACTGAAATTTGCTCACCTTACACATCATATACACGTCATTTCAAAAATTCGAATAATAAATATGTCCAGATAGAAAATTTCATCATCAATTACTTTACATTTACTATTCATCGCACTTGAATCATTTTACCATTCATCGCACTTGAATCCTATTACAAAACATATAGGCATTTATCGACGCGTCTGTCTCCTCATTACAGGAAACAATTGTTGGACTTTTCTAGGTGGACGGATTTTGAAAATCGATCCAGTTTCGCTTCTCAGTGTTAATCGAGACAAGCAAATGCAACCGCAAATTGACCATGTTGCAATGAAATCGCTATTCAAACATTCTATTAATATCCCATTAAACATGCGAAGTGATGATAATCACTAATGGAAGGTTTTTGAAAAACAGTTTTGCTCATTCCATCTTTGCAATGTGAGCAGAAATTTTTGATGTGCTCACCTCACGACTTCGGTTATAATCACTCACTCAGTGCTCTCATCATAAAGGTATTTTTGATGTTGCTTTTAATCGCTAACTGCTGCTTAATGCTAATACTCAAGAAAACGATCCGCTGATTATTCTCGCTCACATTTTATTAACACATTCATGGGTCCTTGAACAACAAACAACAAACATCAAACAACGACAGATTACATATTGATATACTTGAAGATCACAACTCGACATATTTCTACTTGCGCCATTTTAAAGGTGAAAGTGCCTGCTTGCAGTAAGCAAAAAATGAGCGTCTAATCACGCAGAATTGAGGAGCAGCCTATCGGCTCACTGAAGTCTATCGGCTTCTTTAAGGCCATTAAAAATAAGCAAACCACCGAAAACGATAAATCTGGCTTTCAAATAAATGGGCTTGGAAGCACACACTGGAGAACACCTGCAAGTGTTTAACGTCGGAATGCGACG